AAGACAGTGAAAGAGTTGTGGAGACCGGAGACTATTGGCATTCAAGTGCCCAAAGAAATGGGTGATAATGACTACGGTATGAGATTTATATAGTTAAATGTGGATACATACAGTAGACTTATTTATATTTAATTTTAAATTGATCAGGCAAAGCCTGGTTCATACAACGACATCCGAGTCCATTTAAGGAAGTCATTTGGCATCCGGGTGGCATTACCGGCACCACTACCATGCTCAGTCTATTCCCTGGTGAAAATATGGTTGGCGTTGCATTTGTTAACAGAGGCGCAGTGGAAGGCGAAAAGCTTGTGCTGGATATCGCCAAAATGTTCAAGCAATTCACATAATTTCAATTAAATTTACTTTATTTCAAATATATTTGTTTAATTTTGAATAATAAACTTATAAAACTTTATTTATAAATTATTTATAACAGTTGGCATATAATTATTGTTTAACTGAATTTGACTTATTTTTTAATTTGAAATTAACGTATTAATAAACTTAATACGGTATTTAATATTGATTTTGTAATTACTAAATACTGTATAATGATACAATGGCAATTTTAAATACAAATTTGTAAATGAAATTCGGGTTCAAAAAAATTATATTATTTCAATATTCATGGTTAACTTTTTTGTATTAAAAAATTGTAATTTATTAATAAAAACTAAGTGGTAACAGTTTGTTTAAAAGTGTGAGATAAGTTTGATATTTACTAATACTTATTATTATTAGAATTTAATAATTTAATATAATGAAAATGAAATCAATATTTAGTGTTATTTAATAGATGAAACATGCTCGATCTCTATAAATATATGTATGCTATACTGGTATATATACATTTTTATACTACATTTTTATTATTCTCATAAATTATAAGTACAGTGACACTTAAGATTTTTTATATCATAAAAACGTTACAATAAAATATTTCATTGTAGGATTTCTATAAATAGTACCTATTAATTATTCTTGTTCTTACGAATAAAATGTGATAGGTGTCATTTAATGATATGAATAATGGCAATGTTTAAAAAAATATTCCACGATAAATCATCTATTATAGTAAAATACATTTCATACTATTTTCGTAACTATGGTGAGCATCATTGTGAATGCATTATACAACATATGAATTATTTATAAATCTTTGTTATTTACAATATTTATTAATATTATAATATTAAGTTTTAATATAAAACATCTGATACTAAATCTATTTATTTATTAGTTTGCTTGTTTTTTACTGTTTAACTAATACTGCTAATTACAGTAGTATTACCAGCAAACATTTAATTATTGCCATAAAGTTTAAACTATTAACTAATGTATAAATTAGATCTGAGTGTAAATCTGCCCAAACATCTGGTGATAGAGTCCGCGGGAACTCATTTATACAGATATGGCATCTCATTGTATAAATGGGGAGACCATCACAGGAATGCCTTTCATCACCCGATATTCATTTTAATCATCACTTTATTCATTATAATCCGCACAACGTTTGTGATAACAATGGCATCAACTGACGATCAATTATATCTCATGATTGGCGACTTTTCTTATATGATCGGGGCAAAGTATCATGGAAACCTGTGGCTCATTAATTGTAGTCTATTTGTCCTGTTCTCACAATTGGCTCACTTTGTGGACCACAAGCCTGGAGTGAAACCGCCGTATATGAGACCGTTTGAGATGATGACCGGAAAGGTATCGCCACTTAGTGTTGGTATCACTAATGAACCCGATTTACATAAATTGCTTAAAATAACAAACAGTTTGCTTAAAGTATCAAGACCAGTACATATGACCTTCCCTGGGGTTGGTATTGTATTTGCAATCATTTTATTC